CTTCCGCTGTGCTATCTTATACTTTGTATTGAAAGGTCGGTTCTTGTTCTGGTCTGCACCTATACGGTATGCAACACAGACCCTGCATTGCATGTGTCCCAGTGTAGTCCCAATGAGGTTCGACTGCTGCTGAGGCCTCTCGGCCTAGATTTGGACTTCAAAGTCTGGATCTGGACTGACCCCTTGACTCAGACCAGAACTGGGACTGTGCCTATTGACTTTACTTTCAGACAGGCACAACTCTAAACGAACAGACACATTTACTTCCTGAACAGACACTTTCCTTTGCACGAACAGGTACAATGTCTGCTCGTACAGACACACTCTTACCCGAACAGACATGACATACACATCTCCTGGTGAACAGGTAAGTCTGTTGACAATGCCTTTTGCTTTAGATTTAGATGTGCCTGTTGATAGAGAACTTGACCTTTGACCTGCTTTCACGTTTTCTGAGCCCTGGTGAGATACCTTTTCACAATGCTTTACTTTTTCAAGGCCCGTGCTGCTTTATTTTTACAAGGCCTGAGGCCTATATCGGGTAAAGGCCCTTTTATCCAGGCCAAAACGAGGGAAAATACCCCAGTAAAGATTCAGGGCCTGGACGAGGCACAGTTGACAAAAATCAACTGTCGGAAATTCCATTAGTCAAAGTCAAAGTGTACCCAGCCCAGGCCGCCGGTCGGACACACACATTTGTTCGTATGCAGGTACCCAGACGGCATCAGGTCCAAGGGGGAAGTCTGCAACTGTACAATCCAGGCCCTCGGCTGTGAGACAATCTGGACGACTGTGGGAAAGGCAACCGAGGCCAGACAGCCTCGACAAATGCTACTTAAGGCTGGCCTCGAGTTAGTCAAGCATTCAGTCTTGCTATGCTGCTTGGACGCTAGCTTGACTTCGACCAGATGCTGGCATGACACTGGCGGGACGCTGGCTGGACGCCGGCACTGTGGGCGACGACGATAGCATGCTGGCACTTTCTGCATTGTGCGCCAGGCATGCTCATGTGGCGCTGCCTCTGGTCTACATTGCATGCTGATGTGGCGCTGCCTCTGGTCTACATTGCATGCTGATGTGGCGCTACCTCTGGACTACATTGCATGCTG